AAACAAGAAGAAAAATTACGGCAGTTGTTAGAGGAAAAAGAAAAGAAACAAGAAGAGAGATTACAGCAGTTGTTAGAGGAAAAAGAAAAGAAACAAGAAGAAAGACAACATCAGTTGCAAGAAAACCTGCAACAGTGGCAGCTCGAACAGCAAAATAAACAAGAACAGAGATTACAGCAGTTGTTTGAGGAAAAAGAAAAGAAACAAGAAGAAGAGAGACAACATCAGTTGCAAGAAAACCTGCAACAGTGGCAGCTCGAACAGCAAAATAAACAAGAAGAGAGATTACAGCAGTTGTTAGAGGAAAAAGAAAAGAAACAAGAAGAACGAGAAAAGAAACAAGAAGAGAGATTACAACAGTTGTTGGAGGAAAAAGAAAAGAAACATGAAGAACGAGAAAAGATACAGAAAGAAAGTCAGCAGCAACTACAGGAAAATCAACAACAATGGCAAGAGGTACAAATGGAAAACATCAGTAAATTTAAAAGCGAATTAGATATGTTAAAGAACGATTTGTTGTGTGTTACACAAGGAGGATACATTGACCATCGACTTAATCAGACCCAGACAATGGCAAGCCCCTTACAGAGCCTGCAGCTAAACCCTAGTGCAGAAATATTCAGTCCCGTTAGAAGTCACATCCCAGATATGAATGTCAGTAATAGGAGTGATCTGGTGCAAAGGAAGCCACAGGAATTCGATGGGAAGGCACCGTGGGAAGCATACAGAGCACAGTTTGAGCAGAGATGAATGGATGGACAGAGGAACAGAAAGCTGTATATCTGGCAACGAGCTTGAAGGGACAACCACTGGAAATACTTGGACAGTTGACAGCAGCCGACAGACACAACTACAGAGCACTGGTAGAGGCTCTGGAACTCAGGTACGGAACCCAAAATCAGTCAGAAGTCTACAGGGCCAGGTTCAGGACGAGAGTCCGTGCTAAAGGGGAGAGCCTGCAAGAGCTGGAACAGGACTTGGAGAGCATGGCACACAAGGCCTACCCAACTGCACCACCCGATCTCCTCAAGTTGTTGCTGAGGGATCAGTTCGTAGATGCCTTGGACAGTCCACAACTTAAGATACATGTGAAGCAAGCACACCCCTCTACCATGCAGGATGCAATGGCCAGAGCTCTCGAATTTGAATCCTACGTTAAGTCCAGCACAGAGGTACCGAGGTTAGTACAGTCATCTGGATTCAAGACCAGAAAAGGTAAGCTTTCAGAGAAGTTTGAGATACTTTGCTGGCACTGTAATAAATCTGGGCA